CTACCCTCCCACAGGCATCATTAGAGTGTTTGTATTCTGGCACATCTGTATCAATTCGTAACCTGCAGCACAAAATCAAACAGTCTAGAAATGGCCGATCAGCTGACTGATGAACAAATAGCCGAATTAAGGAAGCGTTCTCCCTCTTCGATCGATAAAAAGTGACATCTTCAACTGAGCAGTCCATTTCAACCGGTGCAAGGAGCTACAATCTGGTGTGATTTGATCTCGATTCCCGCAGAGTTTCGGAGATATATTGGATCCAAAATCCCAAATTGTAGTTTAGGAGTTGGGAAGAATACCAGACGAAGTGTTGGACGGTCTGTTCTTGCAATCAGACTACGTATTGGACAGTCTAATTTTGCAACCAGACGAAGTTTTGGATGGACTGTTGGCGACTTCTCCAAAGAACCGGTGACGCCAACAAATTATCAAAAACTGTAAGACTATTCCAGCTTTTAAACACAATTCTTTGCAATAAAGTTACATGCAATGTGTTAAGGTTTTATTGTGTATTACGACCCAGAGCAAGCTCCAAGTGGCAATTTTTTCTCGTTACCAGTTTATTGGGTAATACTGAACGGATTGAAAAGCCATAAAATCAGAACTTAGACAAGAATACTAGATCATTTTTTCCAATAATTTTTGACTCAAACCCTCGAACCGTACCTTCTGTAAGAATTTTTTGCTGATTGTAAATTTTAGGTCGTGAAAATCAACCAAAGACTAGAAAATTGTTTAAATTACGGCATAAATCCCCACTGTTGTTAATCTGATTCCAACTTATGTCAAGTGGTCTGGTAGGGCATTATCAGGCAAGTTAAGTTTTTCATCCTCAGGTTACCTCCGCGTGGTCGATGGAAATCAACCAAATTGCTTGATTCCTCACCTCATTGGTTAACCAAAAATTAAGTTGCCCTCTTCGGCCCATCTGTTTACCCGCCCGCGCATCGACTCTGTTTTATCGCAATTGTGTTAAGTGGTCAAGTACGGTGATATTAAGTAGGTTAGGCTGAGACTATTCATCCGTAGGTTTCATCTCCGTGGTTGTTGGAACTCAGCCGACCTACGAAATTCCCATCCTCATTGGTAATACCGTCGAGAACAAGTGCTCTAAGCGTATGGTGTTCATACTCGAAGCCAGTTATCTAAATCACGCGCTTCGTAAACTTTTCGCACCCTCTCAAAAGCGTGGGAAAGACTTATTTCATTAAGCTCAGTTTGAGCTTTAACTTAAGCGCCAGGGATTCGCAGAAAACTTTTCAATACTACCTGCATCAATTTTTAGCGAACCGCAAAGATCTAGTTATTTGGCACGACGCCATAAATAACTCCATTAGTAGGCACCGCAGAAACAACAACCTGAGTTTTGACCAACTGAGGAGCCTTCTTTTGAGGTTCAAGGAAAAAAAAGTACCGCTATCGGTACTGAGAATATAGAAAAATAGTTGAAAAAGACAGAAATTCTTCTTTTAAACGTAGTTGAGGACATGAACTCAAAACGAAAGGCCAAAGAACTTATCAAAAAGTAAAAAGAGCTACGCCAGCCCCCTTCCCTTGAGTTGAAGCCTCGGTTGTCACTTAGACGATATAGCGCTGACCTAAGGTCACTGAAAAATAAGAAGCGGAACTGTTTGTCGCCTATAAACTTGAAATAGATTTAAAGCGTAAGATTTTCAAATGACTCCCCCTTGTAAATTGTTGACGTATTAAAGTTTTCTGTTCTAGTTACTTGACTGAAAAAAGTATTTTCAATGAGTCATTGTTTCTGAACTTATAAAGCATGGAGGTTAAGTTTCAGAAGAAAATTAAAAAGTTGTTTGAGAAACGTAGCACCCTCGAGAACGAGTTTTAGAAATGCCACGAAACTATTTTGGAATACATAGAGATCCATATCCAAAGTCGAAAATTGATAGATATTTCGGAAAACGTAGGAATTATAGAGCAAGCGGGGTCGATGTAAGTTAATGAGTTAATTAGTTTGGGGGCGAAAAAAGCTAATCCCGACGAACTAAAACCGGCAAACATATGTGGTTTCATAAGTTGACCCAGATTAAAAATAAAGTTTTGCAGGAAGCTACCAAAACAAATTTTGAGGTAGTAACAGAGCAAGATGACATAGATAGCAACTCAAAAGTCTCGTCATTCCGAAAAGAGTGAATAATATCAGTCGCATGAATCAGATACCCGCTCTAAATTGTCACATTGAAGTAGCCGATATTAACAATCGGGTTCTCGGAAATCTAGTCGTTATACCGCCGCTCCGTCGAAAACTTCTTCTGAGGTAAAGCGCGATTTAAAGCTTTTAAAGAAACAACAAGAGCTTGAGAGGCAGGCAAAAGTGTCATTAAGACTGAAAAAGCAGCAAATTAAGATAAAAACTCCCAGAACAAAAATGCAGTTTGCAGTGTGAAGAGTTGGCTGAAGAACGCAGAAGGAAATTGGCATAAAATGAGTTAAAAGAGCTCAAGTAGCAAGATGAGTTGTCGGAAATCAGTGAGAAGGCCGAGCAAAGTAGTTTAACTGAAACAACTTCACAACTTGGAGACAACAAAAAGCGTACACGTCACTGGGTCGAAACTGTTGACCACACTCCGACTGACTCTGTTGTATTTCCGAATAAACAGCAGCACGTCCTTTCGGCGGCTCCTGGACAAAAATATCCTGTATTAGCAGGTTCGTTGGTCATTAAATTTTGCAGGTGAGTAATAGTCAGGCAGTGGTCTGGGGTTGTGCTTCGCTAACCACAAAAAAGGACAACGACATATTTTGTCGAATTTGTTTCAATCTCTATTTCGCTGTATTCCGTGCTGTATTATTTTGCAGTGAAATCTGATAATTAAATTCCGTTTTCGAACTTTGTCGATCTCATTTTTCGCGACCTATGAACTGTTGCTGTTCGATATTGGAGTTTGCCTTCCTTTCGACGTGAACTTGAAAGAAATAAAGTGAAATTAAAAAAAAAATTAAAAAATAAAACCGCAAAATCAAAATTGAGCGTGAACATATTTTAAAAAAGAAAAAAACCAAGACCTATAAAAGAGTTCTCAGAACAATCATTACTCTGAAGAAGTCATCTAAGTGGAACTAAGCGGACAATAATTTACCAGACTATAATGAAAATAAGCCAAATATTTTAAGTTTGCAAAATTAAACAGGCCTGGACTGGAATTGAACTAGCGGGCTTTGTCGTCTCCAGCAGGAGTGTTACAGAAACTTCGAATTAGAAGAAAGCTAAGCCTTAAAAAAAGTCAGGCTAAGTGAACTAAGCTGACAAAAATAAAAATATTGTGTTACCTCTACGCGAGAAACTGACAGTTGGTTGATTGAACTTGTAGTTACAGGCGGCAACAAAGCCGAAATTAAATGAGTAGAAATGCTTCATACCAAAATTGTTTTATGAAAAAATTCAAATTAATTATACAAATGTTTAAGTCCCCATTTCCCTCAGAACACACACACACGCACACGAAGTTTTTTTTTGCTCATCAAGCAACGCAATAAGAGGCTGCTAATCCGATATAATTACTTCGAAACCTATTATGCCGAAAAACAAGACAAGAAAAATGAAACAAGAAATTTTAAAATTAACATAAGCAGCAAATTTCGTTTAGGTCGGATATTGAAAAAGCTAACAAGCTCAAAATATGTCTGTTGCAACACAGAAAAGACCATTATATTAATGAATCCAGGATCCAGAAGATGAATCTTTTGAACGCCTTTTTTACGCGGAAAAATCTTGCAGCCGATCGCAATACTCTTTCTTTTCGCAAGGATAAGAACTTCTATATCACGGTAGACCCTGCATGTTCTGACTTCCTTTGATCGGTCTCCAAAATTGTGATTAAAAAATATTGATGAAATATAATTTTTTGACTGACCGTATCATCAGAGGGAAAGCTTCGCTTCGTAAACACGACAAAAAGCAGCTCTACAAAGCGCAAAAAGAAAAAGTCGAAATAAGCCTCGAATTAGCTAAAGTGCGCCTCGAATTAGGGAAAACAGAAACAACCCTCAAATCTGAGATTAAGAGTCTCTCACCACTCAGCCACAGACTCTTGATCAATCACAAACACTAGCCACAAAAAAAAGCAGAGAACAGATGCTATGAAATTTCCAATGCTACTGATCGTGATTATAGCAAAAGTGCCACCAAATAAGTCAAAACTTTTAAAGAACAATTTTATCTGCGAGTTAGGTTAGAAAAAAGAAGAAGATGCGTACTAACACACTGAGCTTCGCAAGTGTAAATGACATAGCCAATCGAGTATTGGAAAAGAGTAATGAACGCAAATAAACATAAAAAACAGACCTTCTAGAAAAAATCTCAACTTTCTAATTTAAAAATAGATGCCTTTTAAGCTCTTTGAAACAAGAGCAATTTATGATTGGCGCTTTTTTGATAAATGAACCCAACTTGAGAAAACTCGATCAAAAGGTAAAACTTTCATTCCGCTGAATCATCTTTAAAATAAATTCCACTTTCGAAACTAGAACTCGTTCACGTTTTCTCGCGCTATTTGCACGTTCGTATTTGGAGAGTGCTATTTACGTCACTTTCAGCAGATTAATTTCAATTGAACTCAAAAAGTGCATTATACCTAAGTGCATCAATATTTTAAGACTTTTTCCTGAAAAGGCAAACAAAAAAAAATCAGCAAGACCTAAATAAAAGACTTCACTACGTTCATTACTCTCAATTAAGTGTTATAATTTGAGTCGTATTAGGAAAAAACATGACCAAATAGCTGTCTGATTGGTGTGCGGGATACCAATTCGTGCTACGTTTTCAGCAGCATAGATAAAATCTTTGGACCAAAATTGAGCAGTTTACGCAGGCATATTGCGCATGTAAGATAGTGTAATAGCACACCCACTTAGATTCCTCAATTTGTTCGACGTCGGAACAATAAGGTCAATTAGATGCTTCTCTAGAACTGTCACATGGCCAAAATGGTTTAAATTTTTTGACTTGCAATGTTTCAAAACATGATGGCAGCAAAACTTAATTACCAATTATTGACAACTTAGAGATCAGTTCATTATCAGTCAATCAATCAAATACCATTTAATTAAGTATACTTTATTCATGTTAGATTGACTTCTAGGTCATTTGACTAAGGCTGTAAAATTTGACAAATTAACAACAAAATAACCGTCACTGAATTGAAACTACGAAATACTTACAAATTTAAGTAGACTGTGATGAAACATCCACAATTAGTAAAATTTAGACATTAGTGCATTTATTTCTATTCAATATTGAGTGATTCAGATTCAAGCATTTGAGGAGATATAGAAAAATAGAAAACTTTAAATAAGTGATGAGACCCATAACTACAAAATGTATTATTACAAATTAAAAAATTAGACTAATCAACAAATTAAACGCCAATTGCAAAAAGCAACCAGGGTAACAATGTCAAAAGGTGAAGTTTACAACTTGAGCTGAAAATGAGACACCCAAGCATTGTGAAAAAAAGGACAGACCTCAAAAGAATTTATAATTTACAATATAGACAAAATGGCCGCTCAATTCGTTGGGAAAAGGTATGAGAGAAAAGAAACTAATCATGTCGCAGCAGAGGTTTAAGAAAGTTGTAGCCGCATTTTGAAAATTCAGTGCTGCAGTGCACCTTGTTTGTCTTTTAAGAGTCTGCGGGGTAGAAGAGGTTATTGCTGTTGTTATTGAGGGAAGACTGCTTGTCATAGCCACTGTCTCCGTCCGAATTGACGCCATTCATATCATCTTCTGGACTTGGTCCAGGCACCGACGTCGTGTATACCTTCGGACCTAGAGTAGTCTCTAGATAGTTGATCCTTTCTGATTTGGAACCGCCGCCAGTGCTTCCGTAGCAATCAGAATCGAAACTGCTTCCTCCTGAGATAACTTCTAAAGTAGAGGTTCCATTTGGTCTACTGTAGGAAGCAGGTGGCGGCGGAGGCATAGAGTCATCTACATTTCCACTTCTAGTCAAAGATGCCGGAGGGTGTGGATACTGCTGCTGCTGCTGGTGTTCATCGCCTCCGACCGGGGTTCGATCCCCGTTGTGGGCTTCTGCTGACTGTGAGGCTGCATTTCTAGGAACAGTTGAAGACGTATAGCTATTGGCGGCAGATGTGGCCAAATTAGCGACTGGGGGGAATCCGGGCGATGCTGGGTTCTGGATCACGTTCGGGAGGAAGTTGGTGGAAGGAACTGGTGGCATGAAGGAGAAGTGACTGGGAAGCAGAGCTGGAAGTGACCTTTGTGATGCTGACAGTTTGCTCAGCCCTGACCCCTCTCCCAACAGCAGCTGGTCGTTTTGTCTGTTCTCCAAAACAGATGCATCCACGTGTGCGGCAACTGCATTGTATATTGCGTTGTAGGCTCCCAAGTCCTCGAATGATGTGGCGGCATTCAGCATTTCTGCTTCGGGTATTGGACTGCATGCAATGCTAGCTCGATGTATCGACTGTCGCTTGGCCGCAGCTGCCAAAGCGGCCGCAGTGGCGTTGCTGGAACACCTCAGTGCCGATGAGGCGTCTCCGTTCCCACTTTCGTTTGAGCTTCCCGAGTCCATGTCTACCACTAATCCAGTTGCTTCTAGAGCCGCTTTGTTCCGTGCTGCAACCTTCTCTGCTAGGGCCAGTTGTTTGGAAATGAGTCGCGAAATCTCCTCCAGTTTTGTGACTTGGTCCTCAAAAGTGGCACTGCTGTTTGAAGTTGCTGCCTTTGATACACTTGATGAGGTGTGACTTTGGTCCTGTTTAATATGCGGCTGTTCATCGTTGTCACTTCTTCGAGAGGCAGCTTCGTTTTTAGAATCCATACAAGTCGTAGAATTAGCATCGGTTTGGCTGACCGGAGCTTCACTTAATTGGGCTGAAACAAGAACTATTTTCCAAACAGAAAAGAAAAGATGCGATAAGTGAACATGTCCATTAGCAAGCACTTAGCAACCGAGAAAAGGACAATTAGTAAAGTGGGAAATATGGTCTAGGTTGGTTTCAGCAACGGAAATAGAACAGTGAAAAACAAAAATCAAAGCATGACAAACATACTTTTAGTTTCACTTTGCTCAATTTATGAACAGGTATGTTGTTTTCACAGACTTGATTACATAACTATTTGCAATTTGATCATTTTCAAGCTCAAAGTTTTTATTCATGTTCCTATATAGTTCAAACGTTTGTATCTAGTTCAAAGGAGTCCTCACGCTGGAGCATCTGTCAAACACACACTGTACTTTTTCATATTATTGTTTCGCTCTATTTTAGCTCGAGACAGAAAATATGATGTAAATGGTAAATGGAAGATGAAGCCCAGCTGTGTTGTAAGTTATTAAGTGAGAAGTGAGTAGAAAAAAGTGACAGTGGAGGAAGAATAACTCGTGTGGTAGATTGAGGGGGGGGGGGGGGGGTTGAGAGAGACGGCAGCAGCAGAGACACAAAAAATAGAAAAAGGCTGCTTCAAATGGGTCAGCTTCATCACCCCCCGCACGATCAAACTCCCCTCAGGGGTACCTCCACGATATTGGATCATTCTAACTGATTCCCACGCCACTACAAAAGTACCATCAAAAATTGTTTGACTCTTTATGATAGGCCTACGTCCCATACAACTACGCCTAGTTTCTGATCTGAAGGGTAATTAAAATGTTACAAATTAAGATATCCAATATTTGGCATTTCCATAACACTTTTGTTGTCATAGGAGGTGTTTGTTTAAGGCATCTCAAAATAGTTGCAGGGCTGAAGCAGGGTTCACATCGGCCAACAGCACAATTTGTGCACTTCGCTTGAAACTAGTAAATTGAACTAACTGAACAACGTCACAAGCATACATTAGGCAGCTGAACGACAAACACTACGCATTACGATCAGCCAAATATTGATCCAATTTTACATTTTTGAAATTAATTCGTCAACTAATGCGCACTTCTTTAAACTATAGGGCTCTTTTCCGGTACCTACCCCCTATGATTTTTAAAATTGAAATCCGATAAGCCTAAGCCTATGAAAATGACTTTCAAATGTTCTAACCTGCAATAAATACCGCCTGCGTGAACAAATTTGAACACTGAGGCGAAGCTGCTCTTCGCAAACACTTGCGAGAATACGACCAAACAGCAGCTCTATCAAGTGAAATAAGAAAAAGTAGAAATAAGCCTCGAATAAGCTAAAACTCGGCTACGTGTGGGATTCGAATCTACGAACTAGGAAATTTGAACTTCACGCACTAACTACTCAGCCACGGATGTTTAAAATCCCGAAAAAATAACCACCAATAACGCAGCTACATAGGCTAACAAGACTGCTCGTATCAGGGCGAAACCCTGAATGTTCCGACTGCCTTTTAAGGTCTATGGAGCAGCAATGACATGAGAAGATTAAATGTAATAAAATAAAATGAAGTTTTTTTTTAATTTGAGATTTTTCGTGAAGTGATATATTTCGCTCCTAGTAAAAAAAAATCAATTATGGTAAATAAGCTTACCTCAACCAATGTGGAACGATTTCAAAGAAGGATTAAATCTCAGCTTACACTTTAATAGCGCGAAATATCGCGCGTTAATTGTCCCAAATTGGCCAAAATGGCAATATTTACTCCCCCCATAACTTTAGGAAAAATGTTCACAGGTGAAATATCTTTTCAAATTTAAGCTTAGTATATCAATACCTTTTGAATGACATTTAAAAAATTCTATCAAAAACGGCTAGTTAAAAAGTCAAAATTTGTCTTGAAGAAAAAACCCACCCCGAGCACAAATATTCCGTTATTTTCGTAACGAAAGTCGGAACAATAAATTGCCACCTCGACGCGGCAAAAGTAGCACCAAATTAAAAACACACAATTTTGCATGTAATAAATTGCAAGATACATAGAGTGGAAAGTTTCTGAAATCGAGCTTTTTGTTCCGACTTTCGATACGAAAGTAACGGAATATTTGTGCTCGGGGTGGGTTTTTTTTCTTCAGACAAATTTTGACTTTATAACTAGCCATTTTTGACGGAATTTTTTTATATCATTCGAAAGGTATTGTTGTCCTGAGCTCAAATTTGAAAAGATATTTGACCTGTGATCATTTTTCGTAAAGTTATGGGGGTTTAAAGATTGCCATTTTGGCCAATTTGGGACAATTAACGCGCGATATATTCGCGCTATTAACACGTAAGCGGTGAGTTAATCCGTCTTAGAAATCGTTCCAAATTGGTTAAAAGAAGCTTATTTGCCATAATTGGTTTGTTACAAGGAGCGAAATCTATCCTTTTGTACTTTATATGGCGTGTGGGGGGATGATTTTCATAAAAAAATTCAAATTTTAGAAATTTATTTTCATTTTGTCTTATTTCATTGAATTTTTTTAATGTTATTACTGCTCCATAAACCTTAAAAAGCAGTCGGAACATTCAGGGCATCGCCCTGATACGAGCAGTCTTGTTATCATTGTAGTTGTTTGAAACAAATATCTTTTTTCTGTTCATTTGTCGAATTCAAAATGCATCAGCAAAGCACATATGATATAATAATGCTACCGCACCCTACCGAATCAAAGTGCCACCACAAAATAGCACTTTTTTGGCGACTTAGGTTTGAAAAAAATAAAGTTCGTACTATTACACTTTGCTTCGCAACTGCAAAAAAAAAAGTTCGTACTCGTACACTTTGCTTCGCAAGTGTAAACAACAATTCAGTCACGTAAGTTGTGTTATGAACAATTTGCAATCAACTTTATTTTGTATTTTTTACGGGGGGTTTACTGAACAGAAGCCAAATTTAGACTTCTGTTCGAGTGTTTCAATCTTCCGCCTTTCAATGGCAATATTCTCTCTCAAAGGTTTCTTAAAAGTAAAACTATTTAAAGGCAATGTGCAATTTATGGAACGATCAAGCTGCGATACAAGCAAAATTGGTCTAGTTAGCATCAAAGCAGAAAACTTGTTGTTGCGGTGGCAGAATAAGGATATTGATATCACTCAAATAGAAACATGATTGGACAGTGAAGTCAGTTGGAAGACACTAGAATAAAGCAACAAAAGTATTAAATGTGGAAACGGAACAAGCGGCGAGCAGGTGAGTACTTCAACGTCAATCCGGTGCTGAGTCATCTCAACAATGCCAACACAATTTAACTCATCACAGCGAAATCTGAACAACTCATACAACTGAATCCGCATATCTTCAATCCAATCACAGTTAAGGAACGTAGCATCGGCACGGCTGGCTTTTAGTGCAGAATAGAATTGTCTCAACTTCACATTATTATGATGAACTGTAGATAACTGTTTGCAATCAACACCTAACATTCAAGTGAGTGGACAGCGGCTGCGATTCAAACAATACTCACGAGTAATAATAATACCGCACATAAATGGCTTCTTAGATGGGGACTCTAATTCTACCCCGTTTCCCCCCTCGTCATCGTCGCCATAACTTGTATCGGCAGTTAGGAGGATGTTTTGGTCCATTCCGGGGAAGCTGGATCGCTGCTGGTTTTTAGAAGCGAGCAGAGGGGAGTGTGATGACGTCATATATTGCTGGTGTTGATGGAGCTGAGAGAGTCTAGTCTGAGGGTAAGACAGGCGGTGACTACCTGCGCAGTTTGCAAACATGTCCAATGGTTATTCTCACAATAAGGCGAGAAAAAGATGGCATCTAGAAAAAATCTAGTTACTGCCATAAACTAAACTTTCTCATAATAAAAATTGGGAGAAGCTAGGGGATTCAATATATTACAGGTTGTAAGCAACGGTCACTCCGTAAAGACAGAGACAGACAAGCGGACAGCCTAAAGTATGGCTCAGCTACGAGATCACTTTGCACAGGATGCCAAGTCTTAAGCACTTGAGACATTGTTGCTCTATACACTCGGAAAAGTAAGAAGAAAAAAGAAAGCAAACAACTTATTCGAAAGGGCCCATCAGACGTCTGTGTCCCAGACAAAATAGTCCAGAAAGCTTAAACTTCCCAGACACATGTAATTCCAAGAGAAAATTGCCTCAGTTATAATAATCTGATTTGATTCAAATTTAAGTTGCTCAAGCATCATGAATACCAACACATTTTTGTCGCTATTTTCAGCAATTTGCCAGCAGCGCAAAAATTCTTTGGCTAAAATAGAAAGGGTTTTAATAGAATTTTAGGGGGAAAAAAATTTGGTCGAACTACAAAGCTCGACAAAATGTAGAACATTCGTTCCCAAAACGGCCCCTTCGAAAACTCCTTAGCACGCCACTGACTCAAGCAGTTCTCTCTCTCTCTCTCTCTCTCTCTCTTTCTTTCTTTCTTTCTTTCTTTCTTTCTTTCTTTCTTTCTTTCTTTCTTTCTTTCTTTTTCTTTCTTTTTCTTTCTCTCTGACAATCGCTCATTTATTCGATCATAATTGCAAAAGCTCGGAGACAAACTTCGAAGGCACTGTCAGCATTAACTCACGCGATAAAAAAATCACGCAATAAAAAAGAAGCAAGAAATCACTCGATAAACAAGGAAGAAATCACGCGTGTGGAAATCACGCAATAAAAAAAGAAGCAAATTTAGATGAACATTCGATAAAAAATTAGCTCGTAATATACTACAAGTTCCGCTGGTGCACCGAAGTCAGCGAAACATCATCTATCCTAATTCAAGTAAGGCGTACTTAAAACTACTAGCTTGTAGATTGCACATCCGGTGCTTCAAACAGACTGAACGTGAAAACTGCTCATAATTTAAAGAGCGAAAAAAGTGCATAGATGATGACATCCCGTCTTATCTGTATGTGAACCCTAAAATAGACGACATGGGCATCCAATAACGCTTTCTTTTTCAAAAAATGAAACATGTGAAAACAAATTGAGCAAGGCTTTTTTTAAACCAAAGTGGTCATATCTCCAAAACAACATGGCTTCATATCTTCGTACTTTTAACTCAGAAAAAACCTTAAATGTTTGACAGCATAGAACTGCCTTTTCCAGAATTAAAAATTTTGAGCAGCCATACTTGAGGGCAAGATTTGCAACCCCTGAAAGCACCCAACAATAGGGTTGAGAGAATTTCAAAATTTGTGACGTTTTTGTAAATCTAACTATCTTGAAAAATTTTTAAAAATCCACAGAAATCCTCATATCTCTTAAACTAAAAGGGATTCGGGTATTCATATTTGGAGACCGAATTTGTAACCCCGGAGAAACCCTGACAGCACACCACTATTTGGTTGCCTCCTCCCCCACCCACCCCCCCTCCGAAGCTGGCATCATAGCTACAGCCTTACAATCGGGCCTTACATTGAGGTCCTAGCAATCATGAACTCGAACATCGAAAAAAATATTTAGCATTGCAATATACGATATAGCTTAAGCGTTCAAAATTTATTCCTGAACCATGCAAAAAAAAACAAGTTGACAAAACTTAAACATGTCAATAGAGGGACTTCTAATAAATGTGTGACGTGAAACGCCAATAAAAAAATAGATAGAAGATTATTAACGATTACATTTCAGTAACGAGTTTGAGTGCAACCCTCGTTTTAGACTACAAATTGAGAAGAAAGTTTTGGGATATTTATTGCTAACTCATTTTGTAAATAACATGCACTATTGACAAAAAGTGAACTACAATTTTTCGCGTCAGTTAGGAAAGACTAATGAAAAAAAACGCAACTCAAAAGTAAACAGACCGAAAAAATTAGGGCGAGCAAATTTAAAATGTTCTATGAAAAATAAAAACAGTGAACAGAGGATTCAAACTTCGCAAACACAAGCCACAAACGGAAGGAAAGAGCGCATTGAGAGAAAACTGGATCAAAAGAAATTTTTTAATCCAATAAGTGTCTTCATAAGTTCATCGACACTTACAAATCCTTAACATTTAAAACAAAAGATTGCTCGTATATCAAGGCAAAGTCCTGAATGTTTTGACGACCTTTTAACTGGTCTGAAAAAATTCCGCAATCAATAACTTTCTTAACTTAAATAGAAAGACAAACTCATCCCCAACAAAATTTTCACACTTGAGAACAATTCCATGTATTTTCACATGCCTGTTGAATATCAGAAAAGTAAATCAGTGAAGTTGATTGGTGTAAATTAAAGACACTCATTGAAAAATTAACCGGAGGTAGCAAACATTTTTTCTTTTCTTTCTTAAAATTAGCATTTTTCTTCCAAACAACCAAATTTATCTGTCATTTATGGAGGCAAGTTTTAAACCTAACTGACTTAAACCGCAAGTTATGCACAATTGTTTGAAGTGGACTCCGATCAGTGGAAGGGGTTGGCTTATTTTCAACAGAGGCCATGAGTGACGTGTTCTCGTGTTCAGTGGGTGGTGTCGTGATCATATGGGAACCGTGGATGGCGAGTGTGTAGAATTCTAAAGGGGAAGGAGTGCACCCCTCAATCCGCCCCAGTTATGAATTATGAGCGAGTCGGTTATGATTATCACAAGAATTTAACCTCACATGTCAATTAGAAAGACGTGAAAAAATCATTCGAAAATTGAAAGTTGTTTGAAGCTGGCCAACAAGTAAGGCATGAAAATTCCTCCTTGTCTGAAAATGCACTTGATTGTTTCCTTTTCTGTTCATGGAATACAAAGATCATATTACGACTTCGTTTATTTTGGACAACGCAATAAGGGTGGTCGTGTAATAAATAGTGGATGAGCAAGCAAACAAAAATGATCTTGAGGTCACTCTAGCGAGCATCAGTTGATGGCAACCTTTTCAGCCACGTTTCACTCTTTCTATTTATAACTCTCTTTTTCTCTCATTCCCACTGTTGTCTTCATATGGTGGTTTCTTTTCCAAACGGTACGTACGCAGTGGAAAAAAAGTTCAATTCAATAATTAATCGTTAGTGATGGTTGTTTGTTTGTGTACTTGTTCCTTTCATTGCACCACTCACCTGCCGCCGATGCAGTATTGTGGCACCAACAATTCGTCAGTGATCACAAAAAACGAATACTGAGAACTATAATAAACAATCGGTCGCAAGACAACTTTGAACTAACTTTAAGATAGCACAAATTTTAAAAAATTTGCACGAAAACTATGTTTATATACTTTAGGCAGCCAACATCTAACTTCATAAAAATGAAAGGATTCTGAACAAAATTCAATTCTTGCATCTTAACAACGGCACATCAAAGTCCATGATTGGAGCTACCATTTGTCGAACCGTTTAATTTGATTTTTCGAGTTCTCCTGAATCACCAGAAATATCCTATTTTTTCGCTCATTTCTTAGCATCTGAGTTGCTCCAAAATTGAGCTAAAACTATGCCCAAAGTAAGCATTTTCCAAAAAAGAAAAATTGAAACAGTAATCTGAAATGAAGAAACAAATTGAAACTAAAACAAGGATAGCCGGTTGCTGTGCAACTAGCAATAAAATTGTGACCCCAACAATTAAAACATAGCCAACATTCACATGGAAAAAAGTCAATGATCGCAAGGCAAAATGAAAAAAAAAAACACGAAAGATGATTTTCTTTTCAAAACAATAAGTCATTCGAATTTCATAGGAAAAACATTTGGCCTTGAAGCTTAAAATTGTACGATTGAAATGATTCATGATTGACACTTTCTAAATGAAACTAACCTAAATTGGAAAAAACTGGATCAATAGATAAAATTTATATTCCGCTAGAAAATCTGAAATCCACTTTCGAAGCTTGAAGTTGTTCACTTTTTTCGTAACCTTTTTACTTTTGCTGTTCGATTGTCAAGTTTGCCTTCCTTTCAACTGACAGTTGGAAAAAAGTAATGAGCGCAAGGAAACTGAAAAAATCTGACTTGTTTTTTTAAAAACCTTCAAATTTTGAACTTCAAAGAAAAGAATAGATGGGTTTGTTCTGAAACAAAATTGTAAAAAAAAATTGAACTCATAAAGTGCATATATACCTAAGCGCATTTACATATGCATTACTATGTATGAATTCACATCTGTAATTATTAGAGCATTTTTGGACGCTTCCTGAAAAAAAACACGAAAAAAAATCACCAAGACCCATATAAAAGTCTTGCATAAAATCATCTATTTTGCTGACCGAGAACGTTTTGCTGGCCGAAAGTGTAATGAGGTGAAACATGGGAGGAGGTGATGAGTACTAACATTGGTTTTGTGAAGTACTGCTGTTGTTTATAGCAGAGTTGGTGTTGGGTGGTGAGGATGATTGGGTGGCATTGGTGTTGTTGTTTGTGAGGAGGGGGGTTTGATCAGATGAGTTTGAGTTGGCGGCTGATGTGAACTGAGGGGTGATCTTGTCCACCTTGACTGGGTTGACATGATGCATCTGGACATTCATCTGGAACAGAACTGTAAACAATAACGATGCAGTCATTAAAACAGCACTACATACACATGCAACTACAACTGATAAGCACTTCTTTCAAATAAAAACATAGCGAACAGACAGTTGGAAAGAGTCAAATATTTCAAGGAAACTTCAACTTTCGAATTTCCAAGTCGCAAACAAAGCCAACTTACAGTTGGAAAAGAGTAATAAACGCAAAGAAACTGAAAAAAAAATCGATTCGTTTTTTTTCAAAAACCTTCAACTTTTGAATTTCGAAGAATAAAAAAATAGATGGCCATAAAACTCTTTGAATTTGTTGAACTATTCATTAGGGACACTATTTTTGTTAAAATTAACCCAATTTAAGAAAACTTGATCAATATGTAAAACTTAGGGTAACCTGGGAAATCTGATAATTAAGTTCTATTTTCGAAACTAGCAGTCGATCACGTTTTTCGTGACCTTTACACTTCTGCAAATTTTATATGACTTTTTCTAAGCAAATTTTAAGACCTTTTCCTGAAAAAAATCACCAAAACCTATACAAGTTTTAAAAAGTCTGATTTTATATGTTGGTGTTTATGAGAAAAAAGCTTCGCCACCTTTGCGCACCTGCAACTATGTAATACTTACTTGGTTGCTGGACAAAGTGTTAGAGGGCGATGCCGTGTTACTGCCCGGTCCCGATCCAGAACCCCCGCCCGCCTGAGATGCGCTCAGTCCCAGTCCTGCCAACAGACTGTGTGGCAGCGAGAGAGACAGCTGTCCCGCCGCTCCTCCCCCGCCCGTACCACCCTGGGGCACCCCGCCCACGCCCGGAATCGAGCCCATACCTGTGAACTTGGGGATGACACCGCTGGAGTCTTGTAACTGGTTGAGCTATAAAACATGATGTAAAGTGGTAAGAATAATGATACAATTCACATCACGAATCAAGTTCCAGATTCAGATGGAATTATGTTTTTTCTTTCAGATCTTGTTTCACCTGTTGTTTTTTTGGGATAAAAAAGATGATTAGTAGCTTGTTCACCAGAGAAGAATTAAATGGCATCATAAAGTATGTTCTGTTATGTTTGACTCAAGACTTTTTAACCATAGAATAGCTTGCTATTTTTCCTCCCCCACTCACCTCCGATCTTATAATTGAAAACTTTAGGCTCAAAATTTAACATTAATATAAAAAAACGGCATGCTGCCCAATTAAGCTATTTCATTAATACATAACCAATTTGTCACACTATTAAAATGACTCTTATGTGTGGTGGGTTGGGGGCAAAAAGAGCCGCTTAGACAACAAAACACAGCACAGAAAAAAAGTGGGAGGAGGGGGGGGGGGGGGGGGGTTTACCTGTGCGACTAGCTGCTGTATGTAGACTAGGAGGTCTCTGTTCTGGATGAGGAGCTGGTGGACTCTGGACTGTGCCTCAATCCTGGCAGAGCTCTCCGCCACCAGCTGGTCCTTCAGCAGTCTCACTTGTGCAATGGCCACCTGTGTCTCACTCTGCTGCTGCGTCAGCTGCTCCTGAATCAACGCCAGCTGAAACGAAACGAAACAACACATACACAATCCATACACTCACACACAAACAGCAGCTACATCACAACATCACACATACACACACACACAACACATCCCCGTCCAGTCCACTTGCACGTTAACTGCCTCTCTCATTATAGTCCCTCAGTCAGTGATAAAATTATAGCCTCCTCAGCACCACTTTATTATTTTCACCTGTCTATATGTTGCTGAGGCGGGGGGGGGGGGGGAGGAGAGGGAGGGCGGCGTATAGTGGTAAAAAGCACATTAACTATGGACCATTATGTTTTTATCGTTTTCTTCTAAAGTTAACCATGGCTACAATTGCTTCATCACCAAAGAAAGCTACTGACAAAAAAAAACAATTGAAACTCCCACAAATACCCGTGACACTTCCATCACAAGAGCGCCATTGGATCTTATTTTAGAAGAAAATACAGTTTTCAGAGAGATTTTTCCATCTGAACGGATTAAATGACGTAATTCATTATTTAGCTACAAGGATCTTGGTTTTTTTTTACAAGGAAGGACAGGAAAAGATCAAAGATAGTAGCTTTGCACATTATTGATTGTAGCACGAAATTAAATGAAACATTATTCTGCAGCATTTATTCCCATTTGACCTTAAAGGAGTGACTTCAAATTGACTGCTTTTGAATCTGCTGCCTAGAAGAGGAGCATCTGCATACATAACAAGTTGAACCCCATGTGGAGACGATGTGTTCATTCTATTTTTACGACTAGTACGTCATGTGTTGTTTAATTGCCAATGCACCATAAAGATGACAGTGCACGGCATCAGGGACCAACGCAGTGCTGCAATGCCGTCCCCCTCCTTCAGTCCCTCCCTCTCCCTTCCCCTCCCCCTCCCTCTCTCGTCATCTCTCTCCCTTGTCCCTGGGGAGGCTCTAATGTTTCTTTAACAAGGTACCACCTGCGAGCAAGCTTAACTGTACAAACATACATGCATCTACACTACAGTACTTCATTCACGTGGAGTCGAAAACTAAGCTTGGTTTGTATATTTGGACAAAGATGAGTTTTCTTGAGGGGGTTCATCGAAAATCAAAATTATTAGTGAGTTAAGATGGATCAAATTCGGACCAATTCTGCATAAATTTTCTTTGTTCAAGAAAATTTTTGACTCAATTCAGGCATATTAGTAGTGATGACAGAAATTTTTTGCTTAGAAAAAAATTTGTGGAGCTCTTAAAAAATTTGGATCTAATTTTTCTACAACTTCTATTGTATATCAAAAAAAATTTTATATTATAAATACTGCGGTACGGTCAGGGGCGGATTTGAGGAGGGGGGGGCGGATGTCTTTTCCCCCTCAGGGATTCGACGACCCAAAGGGTTCCCCCTTTGTACTATTTTGAGATATCCATATTTGGTGACGTACCCTAAAAATTTTCATAAGGCACCATGGGCGCCAATATATACTGAATTTTGGCCTTTTTTTCAAAATTTTGCGCACGGCGCAAAAGTTTGACCAAGAAAAATTTGGGAGAGCTCGGAAAATCGATTTGGTCGACCTAAAAAAAGTCGACAAAATTTTCGAATTTTTTTTGAAAATCCACCCCCCTCCTCGAGAAAAACTTAGATCCGCCCCTGGGTACGGTCCCTCTGCAGACCCCCCAAGGAGAGATGGGTCCATATTCTTGGGGCAAAGTTGAGGATTGCTGGGTCTAATACGTAGTGAATTTGTGTTGCGGGGTGGTCCGGACACTCAAGTAGTGAAAGTAAAGTACATAGATCAACTGCCAAACACACCACACCGCATAAATTTAGCTTCAATTCTTTCTACTACTTTATACTATTCAACCATCTTCTACTATTCAATTTTTTGTCATATACTTCAATTTCACACTTGTGAAGGTTCACAAACTTTTCAGAGCTGCATGCGAGATAATTAGGCAATAAAGACTGGAATTGTTGACATGGAAATGATTCTCAAAATTGTGAACTTTCACCATCTAAACACTATGAAATTAAACGATTTTTTCTGATAAATTGCATTACTTTACTGAATTGAAAAAAAAGTTGAAAACTTGGAAAGGAAGTACGAACTGACAAAACCGGTGAACAAATGAAAAATTTTCGAAAAAGAACTAAAAGTGTTCAAAATTCTGTCTGGAGAAATCGAAACACTTAAAGCAACTACCATAACAGAAAAAAAACACAATTCTAAGATGTGGTAACTAAGCCAAGAACACAGCCAATCTAAGATTGGAAAGAGTAATGAACGCAAGTAACATAAAAAAACACTGACTTTGTTGAAAAAAATCTGTTGATTTTGTTGAAAAAAATTTGGGATTTCAAAGAAAGATATAAATGCCACTTAAGCTCCTTGAATTTCTGAAACAATTTATGATTGGCGCTTTTTTGATAACATGAACCCAACTTGAGAAAACTGGATCAATAGGTAAAGCTTTTATTCCGCTGGGATCTCTTAAAAATAAATTCCACTTTCGAAACTAAAACTCGTTCACGTTTTCTCACGCCATTTGCACGTTTGTATTTAGAGAGTGCTATTTACGTCACTTTCAGCAGACGAATTTCAATTGAACTCAAAAAATGAATTATACTTAAGTGCATCAATATTTCAAGACTTTTTCCTGAAAAAAAAACAAAAAAAGTCAAGACCTATATAAGTCTTCACTACGTTCATTACTGTTAAAAACATAAGCAGACAAAGAAAAAGGACAAAGAATAGGCCGACAGTTTCAATCGAAACAGAATATTTCCCTTTTGAAAAAGAACAGTTCCTTGCTGGGTCTAATACGTAGTGAATTTGTGTTGCGGGGTGGTCCGGACACTCAAGTAGTGAAAGTAAAGTACATAGATCAACTGCCAAACACACCACACCGCATAAATTTAGCTTCAATTCTTTCTACTACTTTATACTATTCAACCATCTTCTACTATTCAATTTTTTGTCATATACTTCAATTTCACACTTGTGAAGGTTCACAAACTTTTCAGAGCTGCATGCGAGATAATTAGGCAATAAAGACTGGAATTGTTGACATGGAAATGATTCTCAAAATTGTGAACTTTCACCATCTAAACACTATGAAATTAAACGATTTTTTCTGATAAATTGCATTACTTTACTGAATTGAAAAAAAAGTTGAAAACTTGGAAAGGAAGTACGAACTGACAAAACCGGTGAACAAATGAAAAATTTTCGAAAAAGAACTAAAAGTGTTCAAAATTCTGTCTGGAGAAATCGAAACACTTAAAGCAACTACCATAACAGAAAAAAAACACAATTCTAAGATGTGGTAACTAAGCCAAGAACACAGCCAATCTAAGATTGGAAAGAGTGAACGCAAGTAACATAAAAAAACACTGACTTTGTTGAAAAAAATCTGTTGATTTTGTTGAAAAAAATTTGGGATTTCAAAGAAAGATATAAATGCCA